TAAACATTTTACATTCTTTGTTATTATTTTAGCACTGAAGAGGGACTGGAAAATATTAGACCAGCCCGAAATGCATTTGATGTAGTCTTTACAAAATAAATTTAATTTGCCAATAAGATTGCTGTGAGATTTGTCTACCAAGAATATTTTTGGATTACAGAGACTAAAATCGTCATATTTTTTTATTTAGTTGATACGTGTTGATATTATTTACACACGTTTCGGGCATTTATTGCCCCTCTTCAGCCAACTAAAAACAAAAGTTCATAAGTTACAACACTATAAAATTGTAAACAACAAACATATTAGGTATTGTTTTTTAAAAACATACCTTTTTAATTTACAGGTTATGAAGATATTAAAACCACAAATTTCCATCGCCTATGTTTACTTGTTGTTATGGATTTATATAAAATATTGTTATAAATATTGATTTATTTATAATATTTTTATGGAAAATATAATTAACGAGGGAACAGTATGACATTGGGGTCCCCAATTTTGATCAAACTCAGAGAGGTTACAGTGCATCTCCAAAGACTGACATGTGCCAAGCAGTAAGACAATACTCAAAATTAAAGAGGATGCAGTAGGGGAAAAAAGAGAAATCCCTAAAATAAAAACTATTTTGTACCTGCCTATGTGATACAGGCCTCAGAACAAATCACTATTCTCAGCATTTCTAAATTAGTCATAGTTTCTCAACAATTTTGACGATGTCATTATTTCTCACTTTTTCTGTCCTTGTGAGAAATGTGACATTTTTGATGCAAAATTGTCTGGTATTACATCATTAATTATTGTTTGATAACTTAAATCATGTCACAGATGACTTCTTTCTCTAGCCATTGCATTTTGAAAATTTCATGTTATGTTAACTTCAGATATTTTATGACTATGGACTGATGACAACCACTTAAGAGTTCAAATGCACTTTGATTAACAAAGTCACACTACAAAACTTTTATTAATAAGCAATTCATAACTTCTTTAATTTTTTCTATTTTTATTTCGTGCATGAATAATAATCCACATAATCTTGTCAGTGCACCCATTTCACCTGCACTTGCATTTTATCTGTTTTTTAATATTACCTACATTTATCTCCATATAATACAATATCTACTTTTCACTAAGATCTTATATCTCATTTTCTTTTTGAGATTTTTAGCATTCCACAGATTCCATTCAGCCTCTTAAAACTGCCTTTTCTTGTTTTTTTCCTCTATTTACTGCAGCTCAATTACCTCTCTCATCTTGGCTTAAATTTGTTGAAGATAATTTGTTGCTAAAAATTAACAACAAATCATCTCCAACAAATTTAAGTCATCAATTATCACTCCTTAGAATAATTTACAGTAGAGCGTCGTTTATCCGAAAGAATTCCAGTCGGCAAATTTAAATTTTCGCTAGTGCTGTGGCGCTGCAATCTTTGGCTATATCTTGGGCTACTCCAATATTTTTTATGTTTGTGCATGTTTTAGCTGGCAGCACTGTCACTTTTGTGTGGTGTTTTTTTGAGGACTGTGTGTCATGCTGAATCAAACATTTTTGATACTAGATAACTTCTAAAGTATAATTTTTTTGTATTTATATTTTTCAATATATTTATTTTGTTTGTAAAAAATAAAGGAATAATTTTTAATGATACAATAGCCACGATTATTATTTTAAAAAGTTTATGTTAGGCTTAACATCGACGAAAATTCAACGCGAAGCGACACGCAACGGAGAAAAATTTCAACACGGGATAGGTTAATGTACATAATTGGTTATCCGAACAACCTCAGTCCCCAATTGATTCAGATAAACAACTCTCTACTGTATAACTATAGTAGAGTCACTTCTATGCATTTGAAGCTAGAACTATTTTAAGATGACCAAGACAAAACCTTTCTACTCATACTCGTGTATAAACGGCTAGGAACAAGTGAGAAAGGTTTTGTCTTGGACATCTATAGTAGAGTCTTTGTAATCTGACATATATCAGACAGATGATGTTGGATTACAACTAGTGATGTAACGAATATTCGGTTACTATTCGGTATTCAGCCTATTTTTTGCTATTCAGTCGAATACCAAATATTTAATCACTATTTGGCCGAATACCTAAAAACAGGAGTAATAAATAACAAAACACAGTAAATTAATCATTTTGGTATTTAGATTTAATGTTATCGGGTTAGTGTTGTTTGTTTATATTTATTTATAACTTATAACATGCACAAAATAAAAAAAAATAATATTAGTCACATGTATTTACAATTTATAATTACAAATACAGTAGAGCCTCAAAAACTCGGCACTCCGGATAACTCGGCCATATCTTGGCAGGGCAAAAAAATTCTTAGTTAATTAATTTTCATTATAGACAGCTTTATAAAAGTATAAAAGCTCTCGTAAAGTATTTTCCTGAGGTCTGTTTTATCAGGTAAATTACTGTACACAGTGTATTCATTAATTTTCATTTTCATGTAGTAAAGGCTCTATGCCTTCATAAAGGACGTACTTTTCCTTTGTTTAAGGGTATTTGGGCAGTTTATTCTCTGTTGTATTCTCAAGCAAACAATACATACAAGTACAATACAATATTTTCTGAGGAAACACGCACACTTATCCTTTTTTAACCCCATTCCCGATATCCCGGCATTTTCACAAACTCAGCCACCCTTCGGTTCACATTAGGCCGAGTTTTCGAGGCTCTACTGTATCAGCACACACACACCTATTCGTTTGAGAATCGTCGCACACATCTGAGGGTCTGACCTGCCTATCCTTTTTAAGCGCTCATCTTTGCTCTTTCCTTTCTCTTCCCTCCATCTCTCTAGTCCACGTATGCCTATGCATACATCATAATATGCGCTCATGATACTTTCGATTCGTCACTTTTCCATCATAGTTTTTCCATTTTATAATTACGTGACTCATAGCCTGGTGATAACGGAGAAAAGAGACAGATAGGACGTCGGTATAAGTCACAGTTATGATTTCACAGATTCGAGACAGCTTGATAGCCCAAACGGTCCCAAGCTTTCGCCCATGACTTTCATTACAAGCATTTAGCTTTCCGAAGTCTATGACAACAAATGTTTGGCATTGACGGCCGCAAATTTCGCGCCAATAAGCTGCTTTGACTTGTTCTTTTATGTTATCAACTCAATTTCATATTTATTTTCATTTTCACTTTGTGTCCTTTTCCGTTCTTTTTCCATTATTTACACGTGAATGTGAATAACATTTCATTGTTATTCACATTTGATATCATCATTTATCACATACTGCCACGACACTCTTGTCTGTCTGCTACAACTGTCAAGAATTAACGCAATTGGCAAAGTGTAGTGACAGAGGGGCAATGGAGAGCAGGGTCCTTGCCATAATGCGGTTTGAGCGCCAATTTTCGTACGTGTGTTAATCAAGCCGAATAATTTGGCCGAATATTCGGTACCGAATATTACATAACGAATAGTATATTCAGCCTGAGGCCAAATATACTATTCGTTGCAACACTAATTACAAAATATTGTCATATTACTGGATTTTGAATGTATGTACGTAATGTACAATAAAAAAATGCACTTGGTTTATAGCCAAACAATCACAAGATTATATCAGGCTACATTAATGCTAATTCTATGTATGTTTATACTAATAGGGCCAACAGTATACACATACATAGTGGTACTTTGTATTTTGAATGACTCTAACTTTGAATTCTTCAGAGTCCAAACACTAAATTGGGAACAACACTCTGAAGTTCAAACTATGCACATGGTGAAAAATGCAATTGAAGCATAAATGTAATCTGTTATGCATCCAAGTCATCTCTCACTTTCACATTACACTTGTATGCTTTTATCACTTTATTTTTGGTGTGTTTGGTTATATATAGTATATTATGTTATTTGTTGATTTTTAATAATTTCTTTCTGTAATTTTTCTTTGTCAACAGCTTTTGGGCATCCTGTATGTTTTGTATCCTTTAGTTCAAAATTTTTAAATAGTACTTTTTTAACATTAAAAGTTTAGTAACATCTTCTATATAGACATTATGAATTGTTATTATTGTCTGTACAGCATTGTATCCTTTCCAAAACTCATAAAGCATATGCCCAATATGATTTTTATCTGAAGACATTTCAAATTGGTGTTATTCAAACAAAATGTGAATAAATAAGTTTAAAATAAGCTTTTAAACAAAGAACATAATCTCACATCAACAATAATATGAGATTATTTTCTTTATAATTGAATATTATAATTAAATCATACATCTATCTTAAGTAACTAGAGCTGTTAATATCAATAACATGCAAAACTTTCTGTTAAACACAATATAACCATTACTTATTAACTGTGGCATCTAGAAGTGTATGGAAGTCTAAGAGAAGGTTATGATATCAACAATTGAAATGAAAAGGGAACTCATCACAAAGCATGAAAATGATACACATGTGGAGGATCCAGTAACCATGTTTAATATGCCGAAATCCACCGTATGCAATTTTTGTTTTATTACACAGTATTCATTTATTTTTCATTTTCATGTTTTTATTTATTATTAGGGCATTTGATTGTGTTAATTTTACCTTAAATTACATGTATTTGTTGTTTTAAGTTTATCAAAATGGATATTGTTTAGGGTCCGCATATGGATTAAATGACTTTCCATTATTTATAATGAAAAAAATTGCTTTGGAGATCAAGCAGCCTCCTGATAGGAATTAAATTTGAACTACAAGACACCACTGTACATCAGTCGATTTCTGTCACATACATCAATAAAGGATAACAAAAATTTCATGCACATGCCATGCAGAATGTTGGATTACTAGACTGTCAGACTGGTGAGTGATGGATTACACAGAGACTAGTTTTTTTATTAAAAGTTCTTATATATTATTGTATGTTCAGTTATATATGGTATTTTAAATATTTAACTATTCAAGATTATACACAAATTTGTCTGAATTTCATTATTAATCATTAAATCTACTTACCTTGCCAGTACCTGGTGGACCTGCTAACAATACAGCTCGACCAGCCATTTTTTTACTTTTAATAAGTTCTACAACAATTCCAGCAGCCTAATAAGAAATTCAGATTTATAAACACAATTCCATATTTAACATATAGCTAAACAGAATTAATACAAGAATCTTATATTTCAATGTTACCTCTCTGGCTAATTCTTGTCCAACTAAACCAGAAGCAATTGGTATTGACATGCCATTTTCATCCAAACCAAGTCCTTTAACGTGACTATGAGTTGCTATACGTTGAGTTTTCGTCGTACTTTTCACTTCTTCTATCTTCATCATGTATTTATTTTGTAAATTATACTTTACGTTTCTATTTCGTATCCAACAAACTTACAATAGAAACATGCACGTTGTTGCCGGTACTTTCAAAACCTCTGCCAGACGGCGGCAAACGGGAAAAATCAAATATTATCGCCTGTATACGAATTAAGTATTTTTAAAAACATTTGTTATAATAATTTTATTTTTAAAATTTTTAAATTATTTAAAATAAAATTATTAAAATATCCAACAAAATGAAGTGAAAAATATGTACAAAAATTTATTAAAAAGCTCTCTTAGTTTGGTTTTACGCATGAAGACCTTTGAGCAAGAATGTTAACTCAGTTACTTTGTTGAACATTGTTGAACACACATACAATTCCAGGTTCATGATCCACTTCTCATAGACTGTGACCTGTTTATAAGATTCCGTTTGAAGAATAATATGACCGTGACCTGTCCTAAATACAGGGTAAACTCAAACTTTAGGGTTTGATTTTCCCATATACTTGAAAAAATGAGCTAAGGTGTTCTTGCCCAAGGTCTTTATTTATTTGAGCAATTAGTAANTCTGACAGGTTTTGATATTTATCGCTTCTCGCCTCTTCTCGCCACATATTCTCGTTCGCTCGGAAAATTCGCTCGCTCGCGTCTGCATAGTCGCATCCTAATTCTAATGCTAAGATAGTATGGCCGGATGGCCGAGCGGTCAAGATAGCAGCCTACCGCTATGGGGAACCCGAGATCGAATCCGGACGGGTCGAAAAACTTCAGGAATTTTTCGGAAGGCCGTGTGTCACTACCCAGCCGCCCCATTGTGGGCCTGGCCGAACCTATAATGAGCTTGCTGTATGAAGCCCTCTTAGTACCCATAAGGCGAAAAGAGTTTTTTAAAATGCTATGAAAGTGACTAATAAATATTTTTTGCCATTTCGAGCGCTGCAATCGTTTTACGGCGTAAGTTTGGCTCGAGCGTAGGGAGAGTCAGCTGTAAACATTTGTAATTCTTTTAATATACCGTATTAGCCCGAATATAACGCGATATTTTTCGACCATTTATTTTCCGTTAAAAAATCGACTCGCGCTAAATTCGGGGTTTAAGTAATGGAATGTAATATAAAGAAGGACATTTTCCTACAGAGGTTGAAACGCGACTGAACGTCCGACCAATTCCTAGCTCGACAGACCACTTCAAAACAACCATGTGATCTAGTTAGTAGGCCTGCGCTTTTGTTTGCATAGCGCTACTATAGTGAGGCTATGTCTCCGCTTGTTAACGTCTCACGCAACTGTTTTGTTTCATTTGTTTTTTGCTCTAGTGACTAGCGACAGTTACTTTACCTTATTTTTTATTGCCCATAAAAAATGAGTGCGAGTAATAAAAGTAGTGTTGAGAAAAAAGGCTCATCAAAGAGTCAAATAAATAAAGGTACCAGGAGAACCTACGATATGAATTTTAAAATTATGGTTGCAAACGAGGCAGAAAGAACGAACAACTTNAACACTTTGAAATGTTTTCCCGATGAAAATGAATAATAATAATAATAATGATAAAATGTAAATTGAATTTTATCGTAACGAGTTTGCTTGAATTTCATTTCTTCTGAGATTGCAGCAGTGCACGACGGATAAGCTAGTAGTATATAAAAAAAAACTTAATTGCTCTTCAATTTAGCACCTGTCTTATATTTCTATCATGTTTCCTTGTAATGTTATAACAGTTTGAAACCCCACCAAATCCTTACAGACATTATTTTAATGGCATAACTGATTTTTTTATGAATGCTACTAACATTCTGTTCTATGTGAATGATATTGCCTGAAAAGGGCACTTATATACTGTTGAAAGTACTTGCATAAATAAACCTTTCCATAATGCCAACTGACAGTTTTGTTGATTTTGATAACATGTTTACTACAATGCCAAATGTATTGGGTTTTTCATGCATTTAACTATTCAAATTATAATAAAAATTAATTATTCATAATTTGATAATTCAGCAAATAGATGTCTGTTGAATTATTAGATTATGAATAATTATTCAACTACATTTAATATATTAGAAATAGCTACTTAAATTATTAATCTAAATATATAAAATTACTTGTCCTGACTGACTGAATGACTGATTCATCATCGCATAGAGCAAACTGCTGAATCTGAATAGGTAAAATTTGGTATACAGTTAGGGTATGTCATTTATTTGTAAATGTTAATATTTATATTTCTATTAAAACGATATCTTATATATAGTTATCACTATTTTATTGTAAATATCACTGATATGTTTAGTTTTTTTAACTCTTTCCGCCCTGTGAGCACCAAGAAGGCCTTTTTTTTTTTAGCAAGCCCATTATGGATTCGACCAGGCTCACAATTTGGCGCCCGGGTGGTGAGGGACGGGACTCGACATGTCCGGAAAGACCGAAAAATTCCTGGGGATTTATCGACCCGTTCGGATTTAATCCCGGTTCCCCCAGAGCGGTAGGCGACCTTGACCGCTCGGCTATCCGGCTGTCTACATACTGTACATAGTAAGAATTCATGGAAATTCGTTTCCATATTTACTTAAAATCAAAATCAGCAATTAACATCATTGATTATTATTAAAAATATATGAAATTTCGAAAAGTTTATTTTTAAAATGGATGTATCTACAACGAGCGATCTAAAAATATTTAAATTATTAATTTTGAATTTTTAACTTAATTTATTTTATATATTTATATTTTAGACCTTTAAAAATGAATTTAAAAAAAAAATTTAAGTATTTATTAAATTCGAAAGAAATATTGAAAGTGGCTATCTGGCAACATGTCAACAGACAGGATGCTGGTAATCGCGAATGTGTAGGTGACACGTCCGATAATTCTTTCTGACAGTCTGTTATTTGCCGAAGATCGTAAGTCTATGGGTACTCACAGGGATGGTGAAAAGTAATGCTGCAGTTTATATTACAACATTACGTGTTGTTATTGTCTGGTATATCGTTTCGACAGTTGTTTCGTTGGAAACAAAAAACTGCCATTTCGATAAAAATAATCACCCTCACGACATTTTTCTTCATAAACCTGGCCTTTACGATAAAAAATATGGTGTTTTTACCGAACAGATGAGGTTAGACATGTTGGACGAAATAAAAAATATGTTTCGGTTTGCCTACGATGGTTATATGAAATTTGCCTTTCCTAAAGATGAACTTAATCCAATTGATTGTATTGGAAGAGGACCAGATTATGAAAATCCGTAAGTTTATTATAAATTTCTTAAATATAAGATTTTTCTTAGGTAATTTTTTTAAGCTTTATACCAACCTTTTCTCTCTTAATTATATTTATAATAGAGTCATACATGATAAACATTTCCAAAATACACAGAATTTTTTGGGGTTGACCCATATAAAAAGTGCTATAAACAAACTCATGGGATTACTTGCTGATTCTGTTTTATTTTTTGGACAATGTTTTATTGATTTCTGAATAATTAATTTGTTGGCAAAAATGAAATTTATATCTGTTAATTGTCAAAATTGGATGTATATAGTTTGAGTAAGCTGTCAGTGAATCAAATTTTTAAAATTTAGATTGATGCAAATTTAAAGACTAATATAATAACCGACATTATTAATGTATAGTATTTCATATTAGTAAAACCATTAGATTAAAATGATATGTAATTCATAATTTATTTATCAAAAAATTCACATTAATTATATTAAAAGAGAAATCAGATTATATGGAAGAATTTTTTTTCTATAACATGACTGATTTTTTAACCAGTGATTAGATCTAATCCTATATGAGTATGGTTTGACCTATACAGATGTAAATTATTGGTTCTTAAAGTATGGTCCATACACGACTGGCGGCCTTTGAACATGCTTCAGGTGATCTGCAGGTTTACCTAGCCATTTTTCCAAAAGGCTGTTTAGCCATAGGTCAGATTTTTACACATATATCTCCTATATTAGGTTACGGGACAGACAAAATATTACGGCACACATTTAATTAAAGTCATATTGACAACAGAGTGGATGGGGTATAGGTAGTCCACAGATTGAATGACTTTGAGAATAACTGGTGTAAACAGTGCAATAATGCTTTGTACTGTACATTTAGATGACTACTTCAATATGATAATCATGTAATTGTATTAACTGCACAGATTTCATTAAACCAAATTCATTATGAAGACAATATAAAATGCATTTGTAAAAATGCTAATTTATACTAATATTATAAAGAGGTAAAGTTTGTAAGTTTGGATGTAGGAGGTAATCTCCAAAGCTACTCATCCAATTTCAAAAATTCTTTCACCACTATTTAAAATGGACCTTCAAGGCGGACATAGGCTGTATATTATTCTGTTAAACATTCATATAAATTAAAAGATATCATCTAAGTAAGCGTTATATTTTTGGTGTCAGTGGGTGGTGAGGGGCAAGACAAGTACGTATACGAGATAGGTAACCGCGTTGCGCAGTCGCGTGGTCGGCGAGATACACAGTGCACATGTCCGAACTTGTGATATATAAAATTACATGTCCTGGCTGATTCATCATCGCCTAGAGCAAACTGCTGAACCTAAATAGGTAAAATTTGGTATACAGTTAGGGTATGTCATGAAAATGCACACTAAGAAGGGATTTTTCGAAATTCCCCCCGTGGGGGAGAGGGAGAGGATTAAGGCTTAATCCGAAGAATGTTCTCTACTGTACTATTTTAGATTACAATTAGATTAAAATTGATACAAACTTTTTATTTTCAAACAAATTCCATACTTAAGATTTTTGGGATTCTAAGAGTAATAAAATAAATTTAAAAGCTCAAGTTTTTCTGTTTAACAATAGCAATAAAAAAGAATAGGAATAACTAAGATTTTTAGTATGTAGTATCTTCAGTTATTATGTATTGAGTCAAATTAACTAGGACATCATGTGGCTTTGTCATATTGTGATAGAATTGAGGCAGAGCCAGAAAGAAAAAAGTTATCCCTACACTTGTTAAGCATTGCAGAGACAATCTTTGTACCTGCCAGTCATGGAGAACATAATCATTGCACTGGCCAGGTATGGAGAGATGATCCAAGAACAAAACAGTCACCATCAATTGGTTTGTTCTTGTTTCGTTTGTTTTCGCACCTATTTACATTAGGTACACACAATGCTGTTTTTATTTTTGATCCCTAGGCTTAAATTCTGCTAATAAGGTGTGCTCAGTTGCATCAGAGAACACGGACATTGTCACTTTAATACCTCTGTGTAGTGGAAATGTAATCATGGACTTCTATTTTTTACATTTTAATGGACCCTTGTTACATTTTTGGATTCTTTATTGCAATTAATGGAAAATGGCAAAGTTTTATCAAAATCTATCCATTAAATTTTTAGAACACTCAATTCTGTAAGCCCATAGAAGATGTACTAGTAATTGTGGAATAATGCATGACTTTGTCATGCAATTCATGCAATATTGTTTGGTTATGGATGCTCATGGTATGACATTATATCTTGAAAATGAAGTCATAGACCCCTATTTTTTTTTATTACATTTCTGGATTCTTCATTGTAATTAATGGAAAATGCAAAGTTTAATCAAAATCAATTAAAACAGATTTTGAGAAGAAACAATTCAAAACATAGAAGAGGCTTTGCTAATACTCCACCTCAAATGTTTGTTACATAAAATTTAATTTATTTAATTACACATTTAATTTAATTAAAAGAACATTTAATTATTTGTGAATAAATGATACTTGAACAGTATAATAATAGTGTTTAAATAATAAAAAATAATAATTAGATGAATATCAATTTTTAATTTCTTTATTGGCATTATTTTAGCAATAAAGAGATTAAAAATTGTGTATATGGCAATTATTTCAAAGTCATATAGTTAAAAATAAAATTGTTTGTATCATTTTATTATTCTAAACTGTAATTAATTTTAAAATGAAATGATTTACAGTGATACCTTGACTTACGAGTTTAATTTGTTCTGTGACAAAACTTGTAACTCAAATTACTCATATGTCAGACCAATTTTTCCCATTGAAATGAATTGAAATGCCGTTAATCCATTTCAGACTCCTCAAAATGTTTTTATAAATAACAAATATTGTATAAAAACAATAGAATGTACTGCAATAAACTGGTTTTGTGGATGTTGTGGCGTTTGCTGCAAAGATAAAGAAAGGATGGAAAATTCGAGAAATGAGAGACAATGGTGTCACACAGATGAAAGTAAACTAATGCCTATGTCACTCAATCACATGTTTTTCTATAAGCTAGCCATTGGAAAAGTAATGAAAATCACAAAATTACAACAGTGTTTGAATAGATTAAGAAAAAGATGGGTTTTTGCTATTTCTATGGTTTGCTTTGGTTTTTGCTTTGCCAACTATCGGTGGGGTATTTGAAGCTGGTACGTAACCTGAATTTTAGCTCTCAACTCAAAGCAAAAAATCAACTGAGAGACTGCTCGTATCTTGAAAAACTCATAAGTTGGGACACTCATAACTACATTTTTATTTAATTAAATAATTAATGACATTGTATTGTACTTCTCCAAATTAATGACTTAAACACGTACAATATATTATGTTATGAGCTAAATTAATCTTAAGATATTATTTTCTATAATATTCAGTTTTCTATGAAATGAATTTTATTAAAAATATCGTTGCACAGTGATCGAATAGAAATGATAAATTAGACAAATAGATGACTAATAGAAAACTATTACTGCAATGTGATTTTGATGCATGTAATTGCAAATAACATCAAATTTATGAAAACAGATTATATCAGACCAATTATTTTAAAATAAAGTTTTATATGTTAAATTAATGCGTATAAATGAATAGAATATTGAATATGAGATTTATCAGTATTTATTTTATGAATAAATATTTACATATGTGCTGATCATATGTCAGAGATCTCAATGTGTAATTTTGAAAAAAGCTGGTATCATAGTCAAGAAAAGCTGACAGCCAGAATTTTAACTGAAATATGATGAGTTTGGTAATTTTAAAGGTATTCCTAGTGCAAGGCATACAGAAATGATGATAAATTGTTAAATATGATATATTTAATTTTATCACATCAATAACAATCCACGAAAAAACCTTTTTTTACGCATGTTATGTCACAATTAAATTCCACAAGTACTTTCGACCTCCACCAAGGTCTGCTTCAGGTGGTGACTGGCCGTGTTTCGACCTGACCGTTGTAACGATGTTGCCAACGATGTAAATAAATAAATGTGTGCGTCGGGTTTCACTCCTCTAACCGCCATTGCTCGAACTCCTCGAATAAATACTTCCACACCAGTACAAGTGTTTCCCCATCCCTGTAGTTGATGCAGTTGCCCCCCATGATAGCTTTGTGAATCTCCCAGGCCTCCAGGTAACGGAAGTACTTGTGGAATTTAATTGTGACATAACACGCGTAAAAAAAGGTTTTTTCATGGATTGTTATTATTCAACGCAGTGTTAAGTTGTTGGAATTCGTTTATCTTATCACATCAATTTTGTACTTTTCATTATTTTGCACTTTTTATACTAAATACAGTAGAGCATCGATTATCCGACTCAATTGGGGACTCAGGTTGGTCGGATAACTGAAAAAAATGAAAAAAATACATTATTAGTATAGTATATTAGTATATCCCATGTAATTAGTATATTAGTATATCGCTATTAACCAACTTCGCGTTGAATTTTCATTGATGTTAAGCCTAACAAATTTTTTTAAAAAATAATAATCGTTGCTATTGTATCGTTAAAAATTATTTTTAAATTATTTTATTGCTCACAAAACAAACAACCACTCATAATTAGAAAATTAAGTCTCGTTTAAATACTGGCCTCCCTTCAATGGTCGAGCCAGTACTGCCAGCTAAAACACGCAAAAATTTAACAAAAATAATATTAAAGTAGCCAAGACATAGCCAAATATTGTAGTGCCACATCACTAGTGGACATTTGAAATTTGCCGATTAGAACGGTCTGTTAACTGATGTGACAGTTAATCGGGGGTCGGATAATCGATGCTGTACTGTAATACAGAATAGAACCACAGTTACTAAATTTAGGTTGCAACCTTCCAGTGTGGTCACCAGGTACAACTTTTGTGGTATATAGTTTCCAAATAATAATCAATTTCCCTTCAAGTATTCTCTAGTATTTATAGTCTGCTTTTATCACAGCAACAGTTTCAAGCTTCGATTCATTGAGAGAAGTCC